GCAACTTGATGTGTTTGGACGTTTGTTCAAACACATGACCAAGCCATGTCACATGATCAAGGTAAGAAATACATCTACCCCTTCTCAACATTTCCCCTGTATCTCGTGTTTGTTTGTCATAAGAAAATGCAAGCCCTGGCCCGTACGTAGCTCAGTAGGTGAAAGCATCTTCCCGCTACACCAAGGTTGTGGGTTCGATCCCCAGTCAGGACAGCACCAAAGAATGCGTAATGAAGTGGAACAAGAAATTTATGTTTCTCTCTCTTCCTCTTTCTCTAAAAAAAAAAAAAAAGCTTAATAAATAGCCCCACTGGCAAGAATCAGTGGTTGCGCGTCGACCTATGAACCAGGAGGTCACAGTTCAATGCCCAGCCAGGGCACATGCCCAGATTGCAGGCTCCATCCCCAGTGGGGCGCATGCAAGAGGCAACAGATCAATGATTTTCTCTCATCATTGGTGTTTCTACCTCTCCCTTCCTTTCCGAAATCAATAAAAAAAAAAAATACATTAAAAGAACTTAATAACTAAATAAAAAGAAATGTTGATGTGAGATCTACTTTCTGAACAGACATTTTACGTGCACTACACAGGCACTCTGTTGTACAGCAGCCGGTCTCCAGTACTCATTCGTCTTGCATAACCGAAACTTTATACCAATTGAACACACACTCACCATTTCCCCTTCCCTCCGGGACTGAGCAGCCACCACTCTATTCTCTGCTCCTACGAGCCTGAGTATCTTAAATACTTCATATAAGTGGAATCACGAAGCATTTGTCCTCCTGTGACTGGCTAATTCCACTCAGCATAATGCTTGACCGGAAATGCTTACGAGAGTTCTTCGAGCTGAAAGGACAGGGTGTTCAGTGTAGCCACAGGTTCCCAGAACTGTGCCCCTGAGTGACTTTGTCACTATGGAGACCTCACAGCACGCCCTTCCCGAGACCTCGATGGTGCAGCTTCAGCCACCTGCTAAACCACAGTCGGATGTGCTGTCCGGTGTTGACTGGGACGTCGGTATCACTTTTAATTTTTGTACAAAAGTTAAAGGACAAAAGCATTGCCCTGGCGGAGTGGCTCAGTTGGTTAGAGCCTCGTCCCGTACCACAAAAGGTTGTGGGTTCGATTCCGGTCAGGGCACATGCCTCGGTTGCAGATTCCATCCCACATCGGGGCAAGTAGGAGGCAACTGGTCGTTATTTCTCTCTCACATTGATATCTCTCTCTCTCTCTCTCTCTCTCTCTCTCTCTCTCTCTCTCTCTCTCTCTCTCTCTCTCTTTCCTCTCTCCCCCCCCCCCTCTCTGTCTTTCTCCTTCCCTCTCTCCCTCCCTTTCCCGCGCATTAGGAGGGTTGAGAACCACTGCTTTAGACCAAGATCAGGGTTACCTTGGTTCACAGCTCCAGGTCTCCCCCTAGTGGTCTAATGAGTTGGTGTGGTGGGTTTGTCCAGATGGGTCTGTCTGTTTGTTGTCATGGTCGCAGGAGGTTTACAGATCCATAGAGATCCCAGGTGATCATTCCTTGCGGTCTCCAGGCCTGATAAGCAGGGAGGAGGGGCTGTTTTATGAGGGTACATTCCTGCTGTGCTGGGCAGAACCTTGCCCTGGGAGGGGCCGTGACGTCTTTCTCTCCTGATAAGAAGGTACAAAACGGGGCGCTGGTACTGGACGCTCTGACAGTTCCGTTCTCTCTCTCTCTCTCTCTCTCTCTCTCTCTCTCTCTCTCTCCCTCCCTCCCTCCCTCTCTCTCTCTCTCTCTCTCTCTCTCTCTCTCTCTCTCTCTCTCTCTCTCTCTCTCCTGACTTTAGCTTTGGTTGCCAAGGCATTCACATCAAAGATGGCTTCCTGGAAAAAAAACACATTGCCAGCCACACGATTAGATAAGACCCCAGCCACTTCCAAGTTTTTTTTTTTTTTTTTTTTTTTAATTTATTGATGGAGCCCTAACTGGTTTTGCTCAGTAGATAGAGCATTGGCCTGTGGACTCAAGGGTTCCAGGTTTGATTCTGGTCAAGGGCATGTACCTTGCTTGCGGGCACATTACCAGTATGGGGTGTGCAAGAGGCAGCTGATGGATGTTTCTCACTCTCATTGATGTTTCTCTCATTCCCTGTCCCTTTCTCTCTGTAAAAAGTTAATAAAATATATATAAAATTATTGATTGATTTAGAGAGAGAGAGAGAGAGAGAGAGAGAGAGAGAGAGAGAGGGATTGCTTTGTTGTTCCACTTATTTGTGCATTCACAGGTTAATTCTTGTAGGTGTACTGACCAGGAATCAAACCTGCAACCTGTCACATCAGGACAATGCACGAACCAACTCAGTGACCTGGCAGGGCTCTATCGTGTTAAAGATCTTGGTTGATTTCAATAATTGACCACTGAGACTACTTTTTTTTTTCTCTCTCTCTCTTCTGGTGCTTTAAATCCCTGCCTTTTATTTTATTTAATATATTTTTATTGATTTTTTACAGAGAGGAAGGGAGAGAGAGATAAAGAGCTAGAAACGTCGACGAGAGAGAAACATCGACCAGCTGCCTCTTGCACACCTCCTGCCAGGGATGTGCCCGCAACCAATGCACATGCCCCTGACCGGAATCGAACCTGGGACCCTTCAGTCCGCAGACCGACACTCTACCACTGAGCCAAACCGGTTTCGGCCCTGCCTTTTATTTTAATTCACTTATAAAACAATCTCTCTCTCTCTCTCTCTCTCTCTCTCTCTCTCTCTCTCTCTCTCTCTCTCTCTCTCTCCCTCCCTCCTTTCCTCCCTCCCTCCCCTCCTGTGACCTAGCTGTGTGGCCCCAAGGGTGCTGTGTAATTTATAGGGCAGATCAAGCAATAACCCTTTATTTCCTCAAGGTGTCCTTCTGGTTGCTGCAGAGGGTATCTTTTAATCATAATAAGAATCGCAAGGGGCGGTGCAGCCACAATATGGGTCGTCAGTAGGCTGATTGAGACAGATGGGCACCAGGCAGCTCAGAAGGGGATGACGGGGTCCAGGAGGCTGCCCCCCAAGGCTGTCACCTGCTTCCAGGTGAGCCTTAGGGATGGCTGAGGGGAACTAGTACATGCACTATGAACATCTCCTTCTGCGGGGGGAAGGGGTCCATTTCCCTGTGCAAATCAAGGGCCAATAAGGAGTTTCCAGCCAAGAAAGTAAAGAGGAGTTGGCACCATGCCTGCAGTCACAGGTGGCTGGTGCTCAAAGCCCTGGCTCCCCATGGCTCCCAGGGGATGGATTATAGAAGGGGGGAAATCATGAATCATGGTGACTAATAGCATCGGGGTCATGGTCTCTGCTGAAAGGTTGGTGCTAGGGATAATGGATCTCCTTGCCTCTGGTCCTGGTGTCAGTCATGGAGCTGTTCAGTCCCGTTTCAGAAGGATTTGTTCTGTGGGATCCGTCTGCTTTCCTGGGTCCGGAGCTGAAACTCCACTGAGGCCAATTACTCTCTGGTCATGGCAGGTGATAAGAAGTAACCAATGGCCCTCGCTGGTTTGGCTTAGTGATTAGAGCGTTGGCTTGCAGACTGAAGGGTCCCAGGTTCTATTCCGGTCAGGGGCACATGCCTGGGTTGTGGACTGGATCCCCAGTGTGGGGAGTGCAGGAGGCAGCCAATCAATGATTCTCTCTCAACACTGATGTCTCTAGCTCTCTCTCCCTCTTCCTTCCTCTCTGAAATTAATAAAAAATATATATATTTAAAAAATAAGCAACCAATGAATGCATAACTAAGTGGAACTACAAATCAACCTCTCTCTCTCTCTCTCTCTCTCTCTCTCTCTCTCTCTCTCTCTCAAATAAAAAATAATTTTTAAAAAAATCACTTCAGACAAAGGCCAGATGAAAGAAAATAGTGTCTGCATTCCTGTAATCACTTCCTAACATGCATTAGGCTTCACAGCTTAGGATGTCCAGGGACTGATGACATGGGAAGCCCACCACTGACTAAAGAGACAGAGTTCCAGGTGTTCCAAATTGGGGGGAGGGTCCCAGGATGGCAGGCCATGTCCATCTCTGGGGTGTGCTTAGCGAATGAGTGTGAGTCTCTGGAGCCAGAGGGATGTTCTGAGCCTGCAGTTACCTCCCAAGGGCGCGGGCCTCATTTCGGGGAGGGGGGTGTCTCATTGTATTAAACACTCAGGTTTGCTCTGACCAGTTTGGCTCAATGGATAGAGCATCAACCTGCTGACTGAATGTTCCCAGGTTCAATTCTGATCAAGGGTATGTACCTTGGTTGCGTGCACATCCCCAAAAGGGGGGCATGTGGGAGGCAGCTGAACAATGCTTCTCTCTCATCCATGTTTCTAGCTCTCTATCTCTCTCCCTTCCTCTCTGTAAAAAAAATCAATAAGATATATTAAAAAAAAAAAAAAAAGACTTGTCTTCATTCCGTTGTTTGGTATCTTCAAGTTTTCATGAACATGAGTTGGTGGTTTGTGTTTTGTTTTATTTTGTTGTGTGTGTTTTTTTGGTAACTGGGACAGAGTAGTGTGACTACGTAATAAATAAATAAATAAATAAATAACTTAAGTGCCGAAACCGGTTTGGTTCAGTGGATGGAGCATCATCCTGCGGACTGAAGGGTCCCGGATTCGATTGCGGTCAAGGGCATGTACCTTGGTTGCGGGCACATCCCCAGTAGGGGGTGTGCAAGAGGCAGCTGATGGATGTTTCTCTCTCTTCGGTATTTCTAACTCTCTATCCCTCCCTCTCCCTTCCTCTCTGTAAAAAAATCAATAAGATATATTTTTAAAAATAAATAAATAACTTAAGTAAACAAAGGCAACCCAGCGCCATAAAGATAATGACCGGCTCCTCAGAGGCCGTCCTGCCCAAGCCCCACCCACCGCGGTGCAGAGTCCAACCCTGGAGGCAGGAGGGCGATGGACACTCGGCAGTTCTGCACCTGAGACACACGGTGGGTGCTGGCGCAGCAGAGGCGGATCCCACACTCTGGAGATATCCCTCTCCACCGGGAGGACCCACGGGCGCTCATGCACCTTCCCAGACCCAGTCGCAGCCCCTGGAGGGAACTGGTCCTTGTGGGTAAGAGAAAGCGGACCGAGCAGGGCTGGATGGGGGAGGGGAGGGAGACGGGGCCCTCGCTAGGACTTCCATGAGCTTCCTGGGCACAACTCCCCCCACCTCCCTCTACACACACACACACACACACACACACACACACACACAGAACTTTCCCCTGGGTGCCCCCTCTCCCTGACCCCCTCCTCCACCTCTCCAACTGGGCCCCTTCCCAATCCCTCACCCGAAGGCCTTCTCCACAGAATCAAGGCTTTGGGCCCACAGATCAGTAGATCCCCAACAGATCCCCAGCTCCATCCACATCCACTCCCCTGGATTTTGACATTAAATCAAAGTCTTAGGGACTTTTAAAAAATATATATTTTATTATTGACTTTTTACAGAGAGGAAGGGAGAAGGGTAGAAAGCTACAAACATCGACCAGCTGCCTCCTGCACACCCCCTACTGGGGATGTGCCTGCAACCAAGGCACATGCCCTTGACCGGAATCGAACCTGGGACCTTTAAGTCCACAGACCGACTCTCTGTCCACTGAGCCAAACCGTTTTTGGCATCTTGTGGGACTTTTATCCTCCACCCAGATGCTCCTGCCCAGGGCTCCCTCTGGGCTCTGCCCCGTGCTCACAGAGGGCTGGGGCTGCCGTGGTGACCGAGACCACCCTCCCCGGGCTCACCTCCAGGGCCAGCTGCCCATCGGCCACCCCATTCCCTAAACCCAGAGTGATGGGGGGACCAGGAGGGGGCCCAGGAGGCTGGAGCAGCCCCCGGGGGCGGAGCCCTCAGACCCAGGCTGGGGAGGAGCCGACACCCACGCTGAGAGCTGAGGGATGGGTAGGCGTGAGTCAGCCAAGAGGAAGTGGGGACCGGGGGGGGGGGGGGGGGGGCAGAAGTGGGGAACCGCTCGTGTGAAAGCTCGGTCAGGAGAGAGGGCGATGGGTCACGAGGGCTGGGTGTATGACGGGGACACATGGTGTGCAGGGATGCAGTGGCTTCCAACGAATGAATGAACAAATGCATGAATGAATGGACAAATGAACCAACGAATGAATGAATGAGGGAGGGAGGGCATGGGGTGAAGCGGTGGGATAGATGGGATGGGAAAGAAGTCTAAAGGAGTCTGAAAGGCCAGCGCTCTCACTCAGGGTGTGAGTTTGAACTTCATCATGGGAGAGCAGTGAGAGAGCCGTGGTGAGTATCTGAGCAGGGGAAGAGAGCAGGGGCCACCCCTGGGGCCTTGTAAGGATCTGCAAGCTGCCGCGTGAGGATGGGCTGGAGGACACTTGGGAGTGTCCATGGATGTGTCCAAGCTGGAAGACAAGGAGGAGAGAACGGACCAGGGTGGAGGCGGAGTGGGTGGGGAGGAGAGGACAGGGTGTCTGAGAATCCTTACCTGGATGGTGGAAATTATCCTCTCTCTCTCTCTCTCTCTCTCTCTCTCTCTCTCTCTCTCTCTCTCTCTCTCTCTCTCTCTCCCTCAGCCAGTCTGCTGGCCTGTGGGGTCTGCCAGGCCTCCGGCCAAATCTCCATCACCTCGTCCCCAACAATCGAGGGCTTTAATGCCTCCCTGGAACTGCAGAACGTCCCCCAGGGCGTGCAGGAGTACAGCTGGCACCGGGGCAAGAAAGACAGCGCGGACTCCATGATCATCAGCTACCGCCCGCCCTCCGGTGCCTGGCAGCCGGGGCCCATGCACAGCCGCCGGGAGAACGTGACCGCGGAAGGCCGCCTGGTGATCAGGGACGCCCTGCTGAACGACACGGGGAGCTACACGGTGCGGGTGGACCTGGGCGACAAGACCCAGAGAGCCACGGGCTGGCTGGAGGTTCAGGGTGAGCTGGCAGGGCGCCCCACTCCCTCAGCCTGAGAGTCCGACCTGGTGGCATGGGGAGTGGGGTGCCTCGGCGATCTTACCGCCCAAGTCTCCCACCCATCCTCGGATGGACAGCCCCGGGGACCTCAGCAGATGTAGCTTAGCTCCCCCCGCCCTCCCCAGCCTGGAGATGGATCACTCTCTATCTTCACGGGGCTACAGTTTCCTTCTTTCTTTCTTTCTTTCTTTCTTTCTTTCTTTCTTTCTTTCTTTCTTTCTTTCTTTCTTTCTTTTTCTGTAAAAAAAATATATATTTTATTGCATTTTTACAGAGAGGAAGGGAGAGGGATAGAGAGCCAGAAACATCGATGAGAGAGAAACATCAACCAGCTGCCTCCTGCACACCCCCTACCGGGGATGTGCCTGCAACCAAGGTACATGCCCTTGACCGGAATCGAACCTGGGACCCTTCAGTCCTCAGACCAACGCCCTATCCACTGAGCCAAACAGGTTTCGGCGGGGCTGCAGTGTCCTTGTCAGTTGTTAGTTATATGTGAGTAAGGCAGCATGATAAATAGCCTACCGGCTTAGTTAAACAAAGAACCGCCCCATTAAAAAAAAAAATATATATATATATCTTTTTTATTGATTTCAGAGAGGAAGGGAGAGGGAGAGAGAGATGGAAACATCCATGATGAGAGAGGATCATTGATCAGCTGCCTCCTGCACTCCCCACACTGGCGATATAGCCCACGTGCCCTTGACTGGAATCGAACTTGGGACCTTTCAGTCCACAGGCCGATGCTGTATCACAGAGACAAACTGGCGAGGGCAAGAACCTCATGTTTTTTTATTGCACAGTTTCTGTGTCAAGATTTCAGGCATGGTCCTAGCCAGTTTGGCTCAGTAGATAGAGCGTCAGCCTGCAGACTAAAAGGTCCCAGGTTCAATTCTGGCCAAGGGCATGTGCCCGAGTTGTGGGTTCAATCCTTTCCCCCTCTCCATCCCCTAGTATGATAGAAAACTTGCAGGAGGCAGCCAATTAATAATTCTCTCTGGCCACTCAGTATATATATGAGGCCCGGTGAATGAATTCATGCATGGGTGGGGTCCAGCCAGCCTGGCCAGGGGGAGGGGACATGGGAAGTTGGCCAGCCTGCTGGTCAAACTCCTGCTTGAGGAGACAATTTGCATATTAGCCTTTTTATGATATAGGATATACACTGAGTGGCCAGATTATTATGTGTTCAGAGATCATCATAATCTGGCCACTCAGTGTGTGTGTGTGTGGGCGCCCTGCCAGCTTCGCTGAGTCATGGCCTCATAAATGTTGACTCATAAATGCTGGTCCCATGGCTCTGTGGCTCAGTACACAGGCATTTCACATCTTGGCTGTTTGCTCCCTCAAGGTCAGCCAAACTCTCTCTCTCTCTCTCTCTCTCTCTCTCTCTCTCTCTCTCTCTCTCTCTCAGCTACTAAGCAGTCTTATAAGACACGAGGTCATGATGGGTGTGACAGCCATCACCTCCTTCACTATATTCTATAGGTTAGTCACAGGTCCCACCAGTATATATTGCATGGCTGCAGGACTTTGTCTTCCCTCTGTGGTCCTCAGCCTTCTCATCTGTAGAATGGAGGTACCATCCAGGCCTGGGGTCTGTCGCCAAGTTGGAGGGGGGCACTGGTCAAAGACATGGGATGCAGAGCAACTATGACGAAGAGTCCAAATACCACTCCTCCCTGTGAATTCGACCCACAGCTCTCAGGGCAGGGAAGTCCCGATTTGGGGTGGGGGGGAGGGTTCAGACACAACCCTTCGGCCACATGCTTATGCCAAGACCTGGCCACGGTAGCAGGGCATCCAGAGCAGTAGCTCCGGGCAGAGGATGATGGGCCCAGGAATGTGCCCCCCATCTCGGCTGCCCTGTGCCCACTCCCTGCTTTTCTGGGTCCCTCTTAGTTCCAGGGGTGCTCTCCTGCCAAGACCCCAGACAGACACCCAACCCTGATTTTTACAACTCTTGCTTTCTCCCCCAACATACCCCAAACCCGCCACCCCCCCACACCTCCTCCCTTGGAGACAGAGCAGGGCTCAGGGAGGGAGGCAGGCCCCACAGCCGATCTCCCCCTCTTCGCACAGAGTGGGGGGACGACCCCGGCATCTCGGCCAACACCACCTCCGTGGTGGAGTACGGGGACCCCATGGCCGCCTTCTGCCACACCAACGTCACCGACGCCACCCGGATCCGGTGGTACGTGAACTCGGCAGAGGCGTCGGGCAACGCGCGGGTGGCCATCTCGCCCGACGGCAAGACCCTCCTCCTCCTCCAGCCCAGCCGCTTCGACATTACCATCCACTGCACCGTAGCGAACGTCGTGGGGTTTCCTCAGAGAAGCAACTCCCTCTTTCTGAAGGTGGCCTGTACGTGGTCTGGGGGTGGGGGAGGGTGGGGGAGGTAATGGGTGTGAGGCCAGGGATGGGCTCCTAGGCCTTCTTAGGGGCATAGGGGTTCCACGGGCAGGATTGGAGAAAGGGGACAGTGTTATGGGGTCGAACCCTGGGTTCAAAATAAGACAGACCGCCGAAACCGGTTTGGCTAAGTGGTGGAGCATCGGTCTGCGGACTGAAAGGTCCCAGGTTCGATTCCGGTCAAGGGCATGTACATTGGTTGCGGGCACATCCCCGGTAGGGGGCGTGCAAGAGGCAGCTGGTCGATGTTTCTCTCTTATCGACGTTTCTAGCTCTCTATCTCTCTCTCCCTTTCTCTCTGTAAAAAAAAATCAATCAAAAAAAAAATATACAAAATAAGACAGACCACCGGAGGCTAATGATTTATTTAAAAAGAGAAAAAAACAGGCAAAGATTTATTGAAATATCCGGCCAGGACAGCCGCAAGAGCACCACACGCAGGCGGACTCCACACGACTGCCCTGCGTCAGGGGCAGATGGTTCTTTTTAAAGGTTCTGAGAAGGAAAACACCCATTCTGCCACAAACTGTTGTTTGGAACTTTCTGCTGTTCTTCCCAGATAAAATGTCGCTTTCTAGTTTGCTTTAGCCCGTGTGAAGAATGATGAAGATAAACTTAGCTGTCTGACCTTGCAGGCCAGAGACCAGATATGCCCACAGTCTCAATACCATGCCAGGTGGACTTTTTCAATTTGATAAAACTGTATTGTTTTCAAGGCCAGCATCGAGATAACCACTAAGTGCACATAGGGCTGGCTCTTAAATAAATTTAAAACAAAGAGGAAGTTCTGTCTGTAACCTTGCTTAGAATTTGAACTCATACTCCCTAAGCCCATCGCACGATGAACAAAGCAAGTCTCTCCAAGCTCTCCCCCTGCACCGTCCGACCACTGGGGAACTCTGCAACAGTTCAAACCACAGGAATTTTCCTTTGTTCTAAATTCTGAATCTTAAAGACTATATTCTAAAGACTGGGGTCAGCCCGCAGGGTCGTTCCCAGTCACATCCTGCTGGATATTGGAATGTGGCCCTATCTTGCAGAAGCAGAACTCAGTGGTTAATCTCCAAAAGTTATGGTCCTAGGCACAGGAAAATTGCCTTCTCAGGTTTAAAATTCAAACAGCAGTTTTTACCAAAGTATGGTTGCCACTATATTTCAGACAGCATCTGTTTACTTCCTTTTCTGGTGATGCCTGCTTTTCCTTCACGTGCGGGCTATTTCTTTGTCTCCTCGTGGTTTCTCTTTTCAGGATGCCTGGTTATGTAGTTCTCTCCTTTTCTCCCAGCTCAGTGTCTTGTCTTCTCTGCTGACAATCCGCCATTCCTCACTCTTTTGCTGGAATGGCAGATGAGGCTGGGGCAGGGCAGGAGAGGGAAGACCAGGGGACAGCATCTGGAGCCAGCCTGCAGGCCAGCCGAATCTGGGTTCATAGCCCCAGCTCTGGGTCTTCGTGGAGAAGGCAATTCCCGGCCTTCATCCACTGTGTACTGGTTGGAGGTTTGACCCAGGCCCCAAGCCCCAGGCCTCAGGCCCCAGGGCCAATACAGCTGCTCAGGGGAATGCTTGCCCACCCTGGGGCCACACGGGGACTTGCTTAATCTTTCTGTAGGTCCACAGAAGATGGTTAAACCCCCCAGTCCTCTCCTCTGAGCCTCGCCTTCCGCATCCATAAAGTGGACCCACCCCAGGGGTTGCCTTGGGAACTAAAGGACTGTGTAAAGTATTGAGAGCGGCGCCTGGCACACAGCAAACAAGATGCGTCTGTTTCCACTCTGCGCCTATTTAATTAATTAATTAATTTATTTATTCATTATTTTATTTATTTTAAAAAAATATTTTTTTTACAGAGAGGAAAGGAGAGGGATAGAGAGTTAGAAACATCGATGAGAGAGAGACATCGATCAGCTGCCTCTGGCACACTCCCTCCTGGGGATGTGCCCGCAACCAAGGTACATGCCCTTGACTGGAATGGAACCTGGGACCCTTGAGTCCACTGGTTGGCGCTCTATCCACTGAGCCAAACCGGTTAGGGCTTTTATTTTTGTTTTAAATGTTGTTGTGTTTTGTTTTTATTTGTTTGTGTTTTTTTTTTTTTTTGGTTGTAGTTGTTTTTTAAAAATATATAATATTTTTATTGATTTCAGAGAGGAAATGAGAGGGAGCGAAAGACAGAAACATCAATGATGGGAGAGAATCATTGATCGGCTGCCTCCTGCACACCCCTCACTGAGGATCAAGCCTGCAACCCGGGCATGTGCCCTTGGCCGGAACCAAACCGTGACCTCCTGGTTCATAGGTCGATGCTCAACTGCTGAGCCATGCCGGCTGGGCTACCCCTTTTTTATGACAACATAAAGGGCTACCACGGGACTGGCTCATATAGCACATGGTTCATCATGGAAGACATCATTAATTATTATTATTATTATTATTAAAATATATTTTATTGATTTTTTACAGAGAGGAAGAGAGAGGGACAGAGAGTTAGAAACATCGATGAGAGAAAAACATTGATCAGCTGCCTCCTGCACACCTCCTCCTGGGGATGTGCCTGCAACCAGGGTGCATGCCCTTGACCTGAATCGAACATGGGACCCTTGAGTCCGCAGGCCGACGCTCTATCCACTGAGCCAAACCGGTCAGGGAGAAGACATTATCATTATCGTTGTTGTTGTTGTTGGCCCAGCTGCCTTGCCCGGGGGTAGGTCTAGGGGCCTGCTCAGGGTGCAGCGTGGGGAGGACTTTGTGTGGACTGAGGGGAGGAGACAGGGCCCCGGGGCGGGGGTGGGAGGGGGTCAGACACTGAGGTCCCCCCGTCTCCGCAGATGGACCGGACAGCGTGATGCTGAAGACCAGGCCCTCCATGTTCAGCGGTGTCCTGCCCGCCGAGGTCGGCTCCGCGGTGCTGCTGGAGTGCAGCTCCAGCTCCTCACCGAGGCCCACGTACAGCTGGATCCACAACGGCTCCCTCCTGAGCTCAGCGGCAAGCCTCAGCTTCCCGAGCCTGACCTGGGAGCAGATGGGCAGGTACAGGTGCATCGCCGAGAGCCCCGTGACCCAGCTGAGGTTCTACAGGGACGTCCGGATCCAGAGGCCCCGTAAGTGCGGTCGCTCCCCGTCCGGGGCTCACCGCTCCAGGTCTTCGCACCCCCGGGCCTCTGCCGAGCGGGTGCCCGGCCAGGCCCCACTCCCAACGGTTGCGTGGAATCCTCCCGTTCTCTGAGGTCAGAGCCCAAAGCTGCTTCCTCTAGGAAACTCCCAGAGTCCTCAGAGTTGAGTTTTTATTTTTACTTTTTCTTCATTTTTTTTTTTTTTAACTAGAGGCCCGGTGCACAAAATTCGTGCACAGGGCCGGGGGAGGTGGGCGTGTCCCTCAGCCAAGCCTGCACACTCTCCAATCTGGGACTCTTTGAGGGATGCCCAACTGCCCGTTTAGACCCAATCCCAGGACTGCTGGCTCCCAACTGCTCACCTGCCTGCCTTCCTGATTGCCCCAAACTGCATCTGCCTGCCAGCCTGATCACTCCCTAACCACTCCCATGCCTGCCTGATTGATGTCTAACTGCTCCCCTGCCAGCCTATTTGCCTCCAACTTCCTTCCTCTGCCGGCCTGGTCACCCCTAACTGCCCTCCCCTGCAGGGTTGATTACCTCCAACTGCCCTCCCTTGCAGGCCTGGTGCCTTCCCCTGCTGGCCATCTTGTGGTGGCCATCTTGTGTCCACATGGGAGAAGCCATCTTTGACCACATGGGGGCAGCTATTGTGTGTTGGAGTGATGGTCAATCTGCATATTACTCTTCTATTAGATAGGATGTATTTTGTATTGATTTCAAATAGGAAGGGAGAAGGAGATAAACACATCAATGATGAGCGAGAATCATGGATCGGCTGCCTGCAACCCAGGCACGTGCCCCTGACCAGAGTCGAACCTGGGACCCTTCGGTCCACAGGCTGACGCTCTATCCACTGAGGCACACTGGCTGGGGCAGACCCGAGTTGGTGTGAATTCCAGGGAGATAAGGGTCCCGGGGCATTGGCTGAGTGCACACTCTGTGCCTGCCACCCTTCTGACCTGGGTGAGCCTCACAGGCTCCCTTCGGAGCAGGGGCCTGTTGCACACATCGCCTCCATTGTACAGGCGAGAAAATTGAGGCTCGGGGAGCTGGGTGCTTTGCTCAAGGTTCCAGTCCTAGTCAGCAGAGGAGGCAGGATTCAAACCCTGGCAGTCTGGCCACACAGCTCTTGCCCTCACCCTCTCCTCCCCGGGCTGCCTCCCCGATGAGGAAGTGGGAAGGAGGAGGGGAAGTGGTGCAGAGAAAGGAGATGTTCGCCGTGGAGGTGGTGGCTGAAGCGTGGCTTTGATAGCAGACACAACACGGGTCCGTGGCTGCCTGTGGCCACTCAGCCAATACGCAGAGGCAAGGTTGAATCCTTTAAGAGTGTTTATTTTCTTTTAAGTGTTTTATTGATTTTTTTTTTTTTTTTTTTTTTTTTTTTTACAGAGAAGAAGGGAGAAAGGGACAGAGAGTTAGAAACATTGATGAGAGAGAAACATCCATCAGCTGCCTTCTGCACACCCCGCACTGGGGATGTGCCCACTATCAAGGTACATGACGTTGACAGGAATCGAACCTGGGACCCTTCAGTCGGCAGGCTGGCACTCTATCCACTAAGCCAAACCAGGCATGGCAATAAAAATATATTTTAATTAAAAAAAAACACATTTTATTGATTTTTTTTACAGAAAGTAAGGGAGAGGGACAGAGAATTAGAAACATTAACGAGAGAGAAACATCGATCAGCTGTCTTCTGCACACTCCGCACTGGGGATGTGCCCACAACCAAGGTACACGCCTTTGACTGGAATCGAACCTGGAACCCTTCGGTCTGCAGGCCGACGCTCTATCTACCAAGCCAAACCTGTTAGAGCAAGAGCATTTATTAATCAGACTAGAGGCCTGATGCACAGATTTGGGCACCAGTGGGGTCCCTCCACCTGGCCCCTTGGGGACTGGGCCCGAACCGGCTCTCTGACATCCCCCAAGGGGTCCCAGATTGCGAGAGCACGCAGGCATATGGTTGTTGCTCGGTGACTATTTGCGCTATCTGTGCAAGGAGTGCGTGACCCTGTGTCCCCAGCACGCTCTCGCCCTCTCACCCTCTGTCCCCTCCCGAGGGTCTGTTCTTCTCCAGAGCACTCATTGCTCCTGCAAGGACACAAGATGTCGCTTTGCTTTATTTCCCAGCTTCCATGTCAGCTCTGTGAGGGCGGGACATTTGTTCTCCTCCCTGTGGAGCCCCTCCTGCATGAACAGGGTTTTGCACACAGCAGGTCCTAACAGGTTTTTGGAGAACAGGTATGTGGGTGAGTGAAGGGATGACGGAATGACGGTCCTGACCCCCACGTTCCCTCTCCTTTCAGGGACCATCCCTGTGGGCGGGCCAGAGTTCTACCTCTCGGGGCCCTTGCTGGTGTTCTTCATCGGGATGACGGTCCTGGGCGGAGTCTACCTCTGTGGAGTCCTGATCTACATCCTCGTCATTCGTTTGTCCACCAGGTACCTGTTGCTCGGGGTCAAGGGTGGGGCACTAGGTTGGGGGTCTGGGGCTCAGAAGCCAGTACTCCTTGGAATGGAGGTAGCAGAGCAAAGGGGGAAGGGACAGGCCAGGAACTCTATGGAGCAAACACACAGGTCTTTTTTTTTTTTTAATATATATTTTTATTGATTTCAGAGAGGAAGGGAGAGGAAGAGAAACATCAATGATGAGAGAATCATCAGCTGACTGCCTCCAGCATGCCCCCTATGAGGGATCAAGCCTACAGCCCAGGCACATGCTCTTGACCTGAATCGAACTTGGGACCTTTTAGTCCGCAGGCTGATGCTCTATCCTCTGAGCCAAACCAGCTAGGGCAAGGTAATTTCTGTGTAGTAGTTGTTGTTGTTGTTGTTAATCCTCACCCAAGAATATTTTTTTTTCATTGAATTTTAGAGAGTGGTAGGGAGGGGGAGAAAGAGTAACATCGATGCAAGAGAGACACATCGATTGGTTGTCTCTTGCATATGCCCTGACCAGGGCCAGGGATCAGGCCTGCAGCCAATGTAAGTGCCCTTGACCAGTAATCAAACCTGGGACCCCTCAGTCCATAGGCCGTTGCTATATCCACTGAGCCAAGCCAGTTAGGGCTAGATAATTTCTATAAATCATCTACCGTAGTGCCCGGCATACAATAGGTGTGAAATAAATCATCATCACCATCATCGTCGACATCATCAGTCATTAGGCCAGGTCATGCTAACTCCTTCCCCAGGTATGCTCAACCTCTTTTCCCTCCATCCATCCCCTGCCTCTGCCATCTTCCTCCAGCAACCTTAAGACCTCAGAAACAAAAGGTATGGGGAATGTTGAGCCAAGCATGTCGAACTCACAGCTCACAATGAATATTTTTGTGGCCCAGCCAGTACAACGGCATGTAAGAAACATTTTAAGAAAAATTCCGTAACTTAATTTTTACAATATCCTGTTACACTTAATCCTATATAATAAAAGCCTAATATGTAAATTGTCCCCTCAACAGGGAGTTTGACCAGGAGTTTGACCATGGGTTGGAGCTGGTGGCAGCCACAGTGGCAGGGAGCTGGGGGGAAGGGAGGCTCCCTTGGCCAGTAGCCACTAGGGACCCTACCCATGCATGAATTTTGTGCACTGGGCCTTTAGTTATTAATAACAAACTAAAATGTTTGCTAATGTCTGATGACTATAATTGTGTTGCATTCATTTCCCTTAAATGCCTTACATGAGGGTGCTCAATTTCTTTTCTTCTTCTTCTTCTTCTTCTTCTTCTTTTTTTTTTTTTTAAATATATATATTTTATTGATTTTTTACAGAGAGGAAGAGGGAGTGATGGAGAGTTAGAAACATTGATAAGAGAAAATCATCGATCAGCTGCCTCCTGCACATCCTCTACTGGGGATGTGCCCACTACCAAGGTACATGCCCTTGACTGGAATTGAACCCGGGACCTTTCAGTCCACAGGCCGACGCACTATCCACTGAGCCAAACTGGTTTTGGTATCAATTTCTCTCCACTAATACCAGCAGTGAATATTTTAGCAGCCGATTGCCACCTCATTAGTCTTGGACTGACTTGTTTGGAGTGTGCAACAGGAAATATTTCACTTTTGGAGAACAAGAGAAATAGGTTTGGAGCTTTCTTGCCTGGAAAGTGTGGGAAGGTGGGCCCAGTGGAGAGAAACCAAGATGGCGGCATATGTAAACACCTAGACTACTGCCTTGCACAACAATTTCAAAACTACAACCAAGAGACAAAATGGACATCGTCCAGAACCATAGGAAGGCTGGCTGAGTGGAAATTCTACAACTAGAAGGCCCCTGGAGGGTTTGGAACACAAAGCTCCCTCCTCATCTGCCCAGGACTCTCTTGCTTTCTCTCCGTTTCCTAAGGGCCTGAGATGTGACTTCTTCCCTGATTTCTCTCCACAGGAGAAGCCGGGCTATATAAGTGTCCACCTTAGACTTGGAGGAGGAGACCAGATGAACAAGGAGGTAAGAGGGACAGGGGATGACGGAGAAGGGCTGAGAGTCCTCACAGGGGCGGGCTCGGCTGTAGGGGCTGGTACTCACAGGGGACCGTGAAGAGAGGGAACAGCCACAGTCACACATGTGCCCTGCATCTGGGAGACACAGGTTCCTGGAGAAGGTCTGGAGGCCCCACCTAGGACCCGGGATGGGACATCACAGACAGCATAGCCATGGGCTGCTGTGTCTGTCCATCAGAGCCGGCCAATGGGCTGCAGGCTGGGGTGGGTCCTGCGGGGAGCTCTGTGTTCTAATTCCAATGCCTCTTCCCCCTCCAGCAAACGTGCTACTGAGGTCCCCACTTTTTTGAACCTGAAGCCACGGACCATCAGACGTGCTGCAAAGATGCCTCAGCTCAGCATTGCCCATGGAGACCCTCCATGGCACCAGCACCAGCATCGCCATCATCACTCCTGTCCCCATTCATGGGCACAGCCTTGGAGCGCCCAGCAGCCGGGGATTGCTGAGATAAGGCACAGCGCGTGTTGAGCTAATTTGTGACCCGGGAGGAACCGTGCTGGGGAAAGGTGCCTACTAAGCACGGGAAAATGCTCACACCCCGACAAGTTAGAAATGCTTAATCATGCAAAGCAGCATCTGACGGGACCGTCGTTATTTAAAAGCATAGATTAATTTATTGAGACAGATAAAGTATATACAGCATGTATGTAGGGGTTTCCTCATTTTGCGTGTATGCACACATGTATACACACCTGTAGGAAAATCGCGGAAAACGTTCACCAGGAGCATGGCTATCGCTTCATGTCCTTCTTTACACGTCACTGTATAATCTAAAGTGTTTTGTTTGGGTGTTTGTGTGTTTTTTCTCACAAAGTGTGTACATCCTATCTAATAAAAGAGTAATATGCAAATTGACCATCGCTCCAATGCACAAGATGGCTGCCCCCATGTGGACACAAGGTGGCTGCCACAAGATGGCCAGTAGGGGAGGGCAGTTGTGGGCAATCAGGCCAGGAGAGGAGGGCAGTTGGGAAGAACCAGGCCTGCAAGGAAGGGCAGTTGAGTGCAATCAAGCCTGCAGGGGAGGGCAGTTAGGAGTGACCAGACCAGCATGGGAGGGCAGTTAGGGACAAACAGGCTGGCAGGAGAGCAGTTAGACATCAATCAGGCTGGCAGGGGAGTGGTTAGGGGTAATCAGGCTGGCAGGAAGACACTGTTAGGGGCAATGAGGAAGGCAGGCAGGTGAGCAGTTGGGAGCCAGCAATCCTGAGTGAGAGGCATGTCCAACTGCCTGTTTAGGATTGGGCCTAATCGGGCAGTTGGACATCCCTGGAGGGGTCCCAGATTGGAGAGGGTACAGGCTGGGCTGAGGGCACACACCCCCACACCAGGCACAAATTTCGTGCACCAGGCCTCATAGTTTCTTTTATAATCAGAAAATAACCAATAAAGTTAAAACAGCATGAAGTGAGTTCAGATCCCATGATGCCATTTCTGGAACTTTCTTTCTGAGTTGTCTTTGTGGATGTGCCCACAAGTATCTAAACAAATGTGTTTATTGCTATGGCACTTACGAGAAGAGAGAGAGAGAGAGAGAGAGAGAGAGAGAGAGAGAGAGAGAGAGAGAGAGAGAGAGCGAGCCCTGGCCGGTGTGGCTCTGCTGATTGGGCAGCATCCTGTGCATTGAAAGGTTGTAAGGTTGTAAGTTCAATTCCAGGTCAGGCCACATGCCTGGGTTGTGGGCTCGACCCCAGGGCGTGCATAAGGCAGCCAATTGATGTTTCTCTTTCACATCAGTGCTTCTCTCTCTCCCTCTCCCTTCCTCTCTCTCTAAAAAAGGAAAAATCAAAGAAGGAAGGAAGGAAGGAAGGAAGGAAGGAAGGAAGGAAGGAAGGAAGGAAGGAAGGAAAGAAGGAAGGAAGGGAGGGAAGGAAGGAAGGAAGGAAGGAAGGAAGGAAGGAAGGAAGGAAGGAAGGAAGGATGGAAGAAAGAAAAGGAGAAAGGAAGGAAGAATGACAGAGAGGGAGAGATTCTTTCCTGGCTAAATGTATGGACCTGTGGACAGCCAGCACAGCAGCTGCTGTTGGAATATTCAGACTTAAAACAGCGCCTGGACCCATGGCAACCCCCCAGGACCCAGTGCTGAAGACCGCCTGTGGCCTCCAGCAGCTCCCCGGCGCCTCCTCTGTGCCATGGGGACAGCACCGACCCCCTCAGGTGTCAGGGTGAGGACTGAGTGAGACAGGATGGATGGAGGCTGGAGGCACGGAGGCCCCGAGCAAATGTGCTGGTTTCCTAGGGCTGCTGGGAGGCTTGAAACCGTGGAAACGGGTTCTCTCCCATCCTGGAGGCTGGAAGACCCACATAAAGGTTTCGGTGGGGCCATGCTCCCTCAGAGGCTCTCGGGAAGAGTCCGCCTTGCCTCTTCTGGCCTCCTCAGCCTTCCTGGCTCTGCAGCATCACAACTCCAATCTCGGACTCCACTGTCTCATGGGCCTTTCCCCTACCTGTATCCAAATCCCCTTCTTTGTGTGTGTGGGGCGGTGAGGGTGGGATACATTGTTCACTCGATTTACCGTAGGCTCTCATCGAATCCACTAGGACCTCATAATAACTTGATTGCATCTGCAAAGACCCTATCTACACTAACAAAAGGGTAATATGCGAATCAGATCGGACAAAGCCATGGCGGCTGGGGCTGAGGCAGAGGAGATTAGGGGTGATCAGGCCAGCAGGGAGAGCAGTTAGGGGCGATCAGGCAAGCAGGCTGAGTGGTTAGGGGCTATCAGACAGGCAGTCAGGTGAGAAGTTAGGAGCCAGCAGTCCCAGATTGTGAGAAGGATGTCGGATTGGAGAGGGTGAAGACTGGGCTGAGGGATCCCCACTTCCCTCAATGCACGAATTTCATGCACCTGGCTTCTAGTCTCTAAATAAAATCCCATTTCTGGGTCTTATCGCTGAGGACATAATCCAACCCACATCAGTAGGTGTTCATTCTCAGGATCATTGGACCCTGATGGTCCCCACTGTCCATCACCAGTCACCACCTTCCTCCTGAGCTCCATGCCACCCATCTATCTAGCTGCCTGTTGGGTGACGGTCTCTATGGGGAGGTTACAGAGACCCACCCGCTCCCAACATGTGACTCTCCTCTTGGTCCCGCCCCCCATCACTTGAGAGAAACGAAAACATATCTTGAAACAGTCAGGTACAAACATGCTCGCAGCTGCTTTATGCGTCATCGCCCCAAACTGTAAACCAACCAAACGTTCGTCCATAGAAAAAAATATGGGTACACAAACCATGATACACTCTCACAGCGGGGATCCTCAACAAATGTGAGGCCAGGTTGAAGACAAGCAGACACACAGAGGTATGATTCTAATTATAGAAACCGATTATATCACGTGCAAAATTCACTATTTTTTTATTTTTATTTTTTTTACAGAGAGGATGGGAGAGGGACAGAGAATCAGAAACATAGATGAGGGAGAAACATTGATCAGCTGCCTCCTGCATACCACCCACCGGGGATGTGCCTGCAACTAAGGTACATACCCTAGACAGGAATCAAACCTGGGACCCTCCAGTCTGCAGGCTGATGATCTATCCACTGAGCAAAATTCTCTATTTCTACACCTCGATCCACTTGCTCAAAGGGCACCCCTTGAGCTCCACTTTCAACGACAGAAGCAGAGAAAGGCTGGGTGGGATGTTCCAGGATGAGGAACCTCAGGGTGCAAGGACTGGTGCTGGTCAGGAGGAAATTCCTGGTAGGACATTTCTGTGCAAAAACCCAGAGATCCAGCACGTGGGTGGCCTGCACATGGAGCCGGGTGTGCTGGTAGGACTTCACTCCCAGAATTCTCACCACAAACTTTCAGGTAGGGCTTCTCCACTGGGTCCACAGGGCAGGAAACTGAGGCACGGGGAGGCAGGGACCCGTCCATCACTTTACTCAGGAAAGAGGGGCGGGGCGTGGATTTGAACTCACAGCTCTTTGGTTCCAAAGCCAGTGTTCTTTCCACCAAGCTTTTAACTCATCACCCAGAGGGCTTTTAATTCTGCAGGGATCTGCCTGTTTTTTGTTTGTTTGTTTGTTTGTTTGTTGTTTGTTGTTTGTTTTCTTTGCCCTCCAGAGGCCAGGTCTCTGCAGTTCCCGCTTTCACATCAAGATCTGTGAGTACTCGTTTTCAGGGATGCCCTCCTGTCCCTGAGGGTTCCCAGGCTTCATCCTATGAAATCTGAGGGATGAGTATTGAATCTCTTCTCTCTTCCCTGAGGAGGTGGCAGCCAGGTCTGGGGGAAGGGGCTCTGGGCGGCTGTCCAGCTGGGATTCATTCAGGGAACCCTGAGTGGAGGGAAAGGAAAACAAGTCTGAGTCACCTGGCTGGTGTGGCTCAGTGGGTTGGGCAAGGATGTCCGACTGCCCGGTGGGATCAGGTCCATCCCATGCACCAAAAGGCCGTCGGTTCGATTCCCAGTCAGGGCACATGCCCAGATTGTGGACTTGATCCCCAGTACAGGGGGTGCAGGAGGCAGTGAATTGTGATGTTTCTCTATCATTGATGTTTCTATATCTCTATCCCCCTCCCTCCCTTCCTCTCTCTCTAAAAAAAATCAATAAAGACTTTTTTTTTTTAAATAAAACACATTATTTGTCTTATTTACTGACATTTTTTGGCATCCCATTAGCTTTGCTTCTAGGAGAATGCCTCACATCACCCTAATCCTAATCCTAACTCCAACTCCAGCCCTAACCTTAACCCTAACCATGGCCGTTCTGGAGAGGTGGGTTGTAAGAGGATGTCTGAAAAGGCCAGAATCCACAGAGCTGCAAGTTGAGGAGTTTGGGTTTCATTCTCTAGGTCAGGGGGTGCTGAACTACAGTCCTTGAATCAAACCCCATCTATTGCTGATTTTTGTGCTCTTGGCCAGAATCGAACCAGGGACCCTTCTGTCTGCAAGCTGATGCTCTCTCCACTGAGCCAAACCAGC